TAAAAATAAATTTTCACTTGATGCGTCTCCTCCTCTCAATAGCTCTGCGAACGTCTTTCAACAATCAGTGGATAGTTCTGAATCAGTGATCGCAACCGTACGATAATTATCGTACATATGCGATAATTTCATGCCTACGTACGATGTACGATATGATATCATTATCGTACGCAGATTGTACGATAATTTTCATTATGATGCATTAAAAATGAATCTTATTTCTACCCTCGCTGACAATTGGGCGAATTTTTTTTTATAGGAAAAAAGAGGAGAAGGCTTGAGCTCTTGGCTGTTACTGCTAGCAAATATTTTTTCCGTCTTTTTGCTCACAACGCCATCTACTGGTTCGTTCAACGAACAAATAATTTCGATATTGTGGTTTCATTTCGATTATGTTCAGACTTCGCAGACTTTGCATATTTAGTGTTCGAATGTTGGCTGTTTTTCTTGTTATTGTATTGAACTAACGTGCTCGCGTTCAAGATTTAAAATAGTAATTCGAAAAAAACTGTAACTGGAAGCTCAACGCGATTATGCTTCTATATTAAATGATTGTGTTTTTATATTAATGAGTAAGTATGTCAATCGAAAACTTTAATTCATTGGCTATAAACTATATATAAACTATCATTTTCACTCTGTAGCTGTAAAGTGAAAAATGAGTTATTTACGTGAAGAAATAAATAATACTAAACCAACTGATGTTGATTTAGACACTACACCTCCAAAAAAAATTGCAAAAATTAGCAATAATTAAAATAATTAGTCATTATTTTTAAAAGTACGATAATTTCGTTTCATGTACGATAATTCTACGCTACTGGTACGATAATCGCCTCACTTCAAGATGTGAACACTGTTCTGAATTAAAAAATGCAAATGTAAATTAACAGTACTGACATATCAAATGTGAGTGTATTGGAGAACCCATTAGCAGTTTCTTGTAGGGTACGTTTAGACCAATTATGGAATGTAAATAAATCGTCAACTGACATTTAAGGCTGGCAATATATGTCTTCTAATTATATCGATTAAACTAGAGCAGGCACCGATTATTATGAGTGAAATGTAAGTTTTAAAGGGGTTTTCAGCGCAAACCTTGTTTTCGTTTGACAGATTTCGTGTGGATGAAAACACAAGTTTTCGCGTGAAAACCTCTTTTAAGGAGGCTGCCGTTAACTCCCCCCTACATACAGATTGGCTTTCTTGGGATATATGTATACTTTGTAATTAATTATTTTATTTATAGCCATCAAAACGATGATTTACTAAGTATATATGAATATTTCTTTCTGGATTTTCATAGGATAGACTTTTTTTTTAACGATTAATATTATAATTATTTATTGTCACAATACAAACCTGATATATATGTATAATTGACGAAACAGTTAAGTTTTTGGTTTGCTTTACAATAGATATCGTTTAATTCTACTTGACAGTTTTTTACGTTGTGATAAGTATTGTTGCACAGTATTATTCCTTTTGGAATGATAATTTTCCCATCAGGTTGAGCTAATCGGCCCTATTCTCGTTTTAAAACAAAATGAGAACGGCTATGTGGCATTCCTGTTGCCGTTGTCGAAAATAAATTGGCATTCCCCAATTTGAACGACTTATCTAAATATAAGCGGCAGCTGTAAATTACTTTCAAAAATTCCTCATGCCCATAGATTTCTTTATGGCGCATAGCTGAATAAACGCTTCGATAACGCTAAGCGTTGAAAAATACGATTTTGACAGCGCGTTAAGAAGTGAATTTGGCTTGAAAAAAAGAAGAAAGTTGATTTGACAACGAGTAAGAAGTAAAGTTGGCTGCAGAAAATGAAGAAATTGTAACTTTTCTGAAACATTTCTTGGCGCGCGATGTTTAATGCTTGTACATACGGACGTAAGTATTTTTTAATAAATTAATTCGTTATATATTCTTAGCTCAATATAGATCTTTATTTTACCCTACCAGCAGTAATAGTATAAGATTATTTATTGAGTTTAAACAAAATATCTTTAATTTCATCCATGTGAAATATCGCGTGTTTTAATACTTTGACTTTGGCTAATGATATTGTTTGTATAGTATTCTGGAGTTAATTTAGTATGAAATCAAGCCTTCGACTTCTTTCTGTACTTTCTAGTGTTTGCTTGGTATTTGTATTATTTTAAAAATTTCTGAATTTGTACTGAAGGGATTATTATTGCTTTCTATTAAGGCTGTGTGCCAAACGGCAGAAAAACGAAACTTCTGACTGATGAAAGTGAAATTTTTCGTAGCGAATCCGATGTCAGAATTTTACCCAGCTCATGAGCAAAGTAAAATTTTGACAACCTATAAATGTGATTACGATATTTTGAAAATTAAAATATATCTATCTATCTATCTATATATATAAAAGACAAAGTTTGTATGTATGTTCCTTATGAACTCATAATATCATAACATTATGCCAATTTGTATGAATGCATGCAAAAGTGATAATACTCTATTAAATTATGTAATTTTCAAAATAATATTTGTAGTCAGTTTGGGTATTTAATAAGATTATATAGTTTTTACGTAATATGCATTTATAATTAATATTCTGTATGATAATTGTTACTAATAGTGATTAAATTTATTAAAACGTATACATACATCTTTCATCATATTAATTTTATATAGTCATATATCTGAACATGCGCATTTGAATGTACGTACTCAGAAAGTCAAATCATAATTTTATCACTTATTAATACATTATATGTGCGCGCCTTGTAATATACTTATATATGTATGTATATGTAACATTGCCGAACAAATAATGCATACAAAAACCAACCTACATACATATGAATATCCGTACACATGTAAATACGTCACCCGAACATGCGTTTGTCTACAAGCGTCTTTTCGCGACGATGGCAAAGAAATCATAAATTGAACAACTTTTTTATGTACCCTCTAGAAGGGGAAAGTGACAACCCTGCAAGCACTCAAAACCCAGAAAAAAGTGGCAACAAAGCTTTTGTCGATTTAAAATATTTTTCCGTAGCTCACAAAAATCTATGTCAATCTGTATGCATGCTCATATATAAACATATGTACATATTTACGATGATTTGTGAGCAAAGCTGTTAGAACGGCAAGGGAAGCGATGATAATCGGCGGCCGTTCGTAATATTTTTTTTCGGCATAGCTCGAATTTTATACCAACAACACAATGTTGTGCCGCTTTGTCGTCGCGTCAGTCCTTTTGCGCAGGGAATCTTTGACAAGAAAAAAAAAACGTGAGCTTCGTACATTGGTTGTCCGTGGCAACGGAGATTTTGCATGAGACAATGAGTGTACATATTTACATACTTTTGTTGTATGTAGACAAATTAACAATTATAATGAGTACTTTCATATATGTTTACATGCCCACATAATTATACATCTATTATGTATAAGAATATTTGCTACCGCTTGCTATTTTCTTATCGGTTTATATCAAGAAAGAGATGTACAAAATCAAACCCAGAAATCTGACCAAACTGAAGCATACCATTAAATACCTAATTGAGGCAATCCCGAATTAGGTATCGCATATGCGTGGCTGAGCATGGTGGAATAATTAATTGTTTAAATAAAATAAAATTTTCTACACAATAAAAAAAAATAAATGTAATGCACTGATTAAAAAGAAACTTATTACGGTTTAGTTTTGTAGCACGATTCGTGAGCCACCCTGTATATGCAGAATATCTTAAAATTATATGCAAAGTCGTTTGCGCATTGCAAATATACGAATCTGTAAGCGTTCATTTCTTAACATTGAAATTAGCACTTTTCTCAATTCTCCTGATGTTAATTGTGGCCAATAATTTTCTGTGGTGAAACACGCTCATCGTTTTCTGTTCCCCTGCGAAAAGTGAAATATTTTGATAATGGCCGCACTGTGAACCTTCTCTATAATCTACATTCTCTGTTCTCTGTACCAGGTTGATGATTTATCGAGAAATCCGTTACAATATTGAATCCGATTTCGTTTTTCATTCGATTAGCACTAGTGTACTTTAGTATTCCTAACATGGAGAATTATCGGCAATCAATCGATATTTTATAATAATCGATGTATAACTTTCATTTTAGTTAGAAATTCCTGATATAGTGAAGTATATGTTTGGAACGGAAGATAATAGTTCATATTATAAATAATGCCCCTAAAAGACGTAATGGTTCTGGAATTCGTTGGGCTCGCCCCAGGACCGTTTTGCGGTAAAATTCTTGCGGATTTTGGTGCTTCTGTATTGAGAATTGATAAGGTAATTTATAATCTATTCTGATTATATTATTGAACTCTTCTGATTATTTAAATATATTAGGGTACTATTCACTTTTAGTGCAAAGGGCCGTTTCATCCATGCATACCTACATACATACACATAGCCAATAAAGTCTGCGTTCACCCGACACATTTTTTAAAGTGACGTAAAAACAATAGGGTGGGCTTTAGTTTAGCATCCCACGATTTCAGGGTTAAGAGGGGTATGGTTGGATAGAGGAGATTCTCCAGATCACGAATATATTGCCGCCGGAAACTTATAGTTTTGGAGATATTTGCATTTTAAGTTGAAAATTTCACAAATTTCATTTTACAATTTCTCGATTTATGGTTATCTCTTCTTTTATATTATGCACTTATTATACACTAACTTTTCACTTCAATGTTTCTACATATTTATTTTATATTAAATATTTAAGTATTTGCTTTAAATAAGCATTTAATTTTTACACAAATTTCGTAATATGAACAATAACAAATGGGTTCCATGTTGTCAGATAATAAGTGTTGCCATATCTATTATATATATATATATATATATAAATATATATTTTGAAAGCGAATTAAAATGAACAATAAAAGAGGATTATACTCCAAATACATGAACTATAATTTTGTTTATTCCCTTCTATTAATATATTATGGTAGGGGATTGGCCAGGGTTATTTTTTTAAAGCGCGGCCGAAGGCCGCCAGTGCAGAAAGAAGTTTGACGCGATTGAATTATGAACACCCCGGTGTTGGACCGACCAGGGTTATTTTTTTGAAGCGCGGCCGAAGGCCGCCAGTGCAGAAAGAAGTTTGACGCGATTGAATTATGAACACCCCGGTGTTGGACCGATCAAGGTTATTTTTTTGAAGCGCGGCCGAAGGCCGCCAGTGCAAATAAAAAATCTTAACAAAAAAAAAGCAATGTTAAAGAGAATATACCACTCTCTATAAACTTCAATTTTTATTAAGGATAATTATAATAACAGTGAAGATTTTCAAAATTTGATATATGAATACATATGGCGTAAAAATATAGTAAATCAGCATCATGATCCATTTGTGAAATTATCAGATGCAATAAAACATACGTTTAAGCCATAAAACCTTTTTCTTTTATTAAAATGGAAAATTAAGTTCATAATATTTTGTAGAGGGTGATTGGGTTTTTTATTTATTTTGATTGCTTTCATCCGTTTGGATATGGCAACACTTATTATCTGACAACATGGAACCCATTTGTTATTGTTCATATTACGAAAATTGTGTAAAAATTAAATGGTTATTTAAAGCAAATACTTAAATATTTAATATAAAATAAATATGTAGAAACCTTGTAGTGAAGTGTTAGTGTGTAATAAGTGCATAATATAAAAGAAAAGATAACCATAAATCGAGAAATTGTAAAATGAAATTAGTGAAATTTTCAACTTAAAATGCAAATATCTCGAAAACTATAAGTTTCCGGCGGCATTAATTATATATATTCGAGATCTGGAGAATCTCCTCTATCCAACCATACCCCTCTTAACCCTGAAATCGTGGGATGCTAAACTAAAGTTTTCCCAAACAATGTAAAAGGTAATTCAGTTGAAGTTTTCTGCATGTATTTCTTCTTTATATTCTTAAGTTCAAAATGCAAAAACAAAAACGTATATTCCTATTTTAATTTTTGTGATAACGGGATTGGGTCGGCTTTAGTATAACGTCCCAGGCTTTTTGGGATAAAACGGGTATGGACGGATAGAGGAGATCCTCCAGATCAAGAATACATAAATATAGATATAGCCGCGGGAAACTTTTAGTTTTCGAGATATTTACGTTTAAAGTTGAAAATTTCAACTATTTAAAGTACGTATTTTTGCGGTTTAAAATGAATTATACACTTTTATTTTTCACTAACACTTGACTAATTCGTTTTTAGAAATTTTTTTTATGTTAAATGCTGCAAAAATAGCTTTATTTCCATATTTAAATCATTCTTCAATTTTATTAATTTTGACAATAACAAAATGGTTGTGATTGTCAAAATACCAGTGTTGCCATACTAATATATTTTGTAAACAAAGAAAAATAAAATAAACAGAGATTATACCCTAGATACAGGTAACAAGGCAAAAAGAGAGTGAGCTTTAGTTTACCATCCCACGATTTCAGGGTTAATAGAGGTATGGTAGGGTAGAGTAGATTCTCCAGATCACGAATATATATAATTATTGCCGCCGGAAACTTATAGTTTTCGAGATATTTGCATTTTAAATTTCACAATTTTTCATTTTACAATTTCTCGATTTATGGTTATCTTTTCTTTTATATTATGCACTTATTATACACTAACTTTTCACTTCAATGTTTCTACATATATATTTTATATTAAATATATAAGTATTTGCTTTAAATAAGCATTTAATTTTTACACAATTTTCGGAATATGAACAATATTAAATGGGTTCCATGTTGTCAGATAATAAGTGTTGCCATATCTATTATAGGTATATATATATATATATATATAGATAAATATATATTTTGAAAGCGAATTAAACTGAACAATAAAAGAGGATTATACCCCAAATACATGAACTATAATTTGCTGCTGAAAGAAGTTTGACGCGATTGAATTATGAACACCCCGGTGTTGGACCGACCGGGGTTACTTTTTTGAAGCGCGGCCGAATGCCGCCAGGGCAAATAAAAAATCTTAACAAAAAAAAAGTAATGTTAAAGAAAATATATTTTACCCATTTGTTATTGTTCATATTGCGAAAATTGTGTAAAAATTAAATGCTTATTAAAGCAATTACTTAAATATTTAATATAAAATAAATATGTAGAAACATTGTAGTGAAGTGTTAGTGTGTAACAAGTGCATAATATAAAAGAAAAAATGACCAAAAATTGAGAAATTGTAAAATGAAATTTGTGAAATTTTCAACTTGCAAAATGCAAATATCTCGAAAACTATAAGTTTCCGGCGGCAATAATTATATATATTCGAGATCTGGAGAGTCTCCTCTATCAAACCATACCCCTCTTAACCCTGAAATCGTGGGAAAACTAAAGTTTTCCCCAAAAAGAATTTCTGCGCGTAAAAACCTTGGTACACCCCGGTGTTGGACCGACCAGTGTTATTTTTTTGAAGCGCGGCCGAAGGCCTCCAACGCAAAAAGATGTTCTGCGCAAAACAACCTCGCTACACCCCGGTGTTGGACCGACCAGGGTTATTTTTTTGAAGCGCGGCCGAAGGCCGCCAATGCAATAAGAAGTTCTGCGCGAAAAATATTTTGATACACCCCGGTGTTGGACCGACCAGGGTTATTTTTTTTGAAGCGCGGCCGAAGGCCTCCAATGCAAAAAGAACTTCTACAAGAAAACTAATATTGTCATAGAGGGTATAACGTAATACTTAACATCAATGCTCTGTAATAGTTTATTTCTCTAGGTGTTGGATTCCTGTATTTGGGGTATTATCTGTTTTAATTTCTTTCAGTTCAATTTCAAAAGATGTCGATAAGGTAACACTGGTTGTTGGACATATTGCAATCATTTTATTATTGTCAGAATTAAGGGAATTTAACAATAATTTAATTATTGAATTAAACTATTTTTGCACTATATAATGTAAAATAAATGTGTAAAAACGAATTAGTGAAGTGTTAGTGGATATAAAAGTGGAAAATATAAGTGTAGAATTCATTTGAAATCGAAAAAATGCGTTCTTTAAATAGTTGAAATTTTCAACTTTAAACGTAAATATTTCGAAAACTATAAGTTTCCCGCGGCTATATCTTTATATTTATTTTTGATCTGGAGGATCTCCTCTATCCGCCCATACCCATTTTATCCCCGAAAGCCTGGGACGTTATACTAAAGTTTTCCCACGGGATTTTAGTGTAAGAACAAGTAAACATAGGCACCATTAAGTCTGAGTTCAGTTAGCTTGAATTTATACTGCCGTTACTTCTCATGAATTTTTTCGTTCTTTTTGCGTAGTTTCTATTGTGTTTTAATATAGTTAGTCGTTGAGTCTGCCAGAAAGATACATTATCATTAAGTTGTGAAAAGATGGAAAGTTTCAGAAAAATTGGGCAAACTATTGGAAGAACGTATTCTTCTGTCCAGCGCGTCGTAAACAATTTAAAACAAACCGGAATTTTGACGTCAAAACCGCGATAGGGTCGTCCGAAGATATTATCAGCCCGGGAAGAACGGAAAATAATATATATTGTGAAAGTTAACCCTCGAATTACGTAAACAAAGATAATTGAAATCGTAAATATAACCATTAAAAAACCATTTGTGCCGAAAGCGCATTGAATTTGCTCATAATTATATAAATAAGTCGCCGAAATTCTGGAGAAAAGTAATATTATCGGATGAAAGTAAATTTTGCATTTTTGGCATAAAAGGTCGACAAATTGTGTGACGCAAGTCAAGAACTGCCCTGGAAAAGAAAATCTTGTTGGTACAGTTAAGTACTGAGGTGGCGGAATTATGGTGTGGGGTTGCATGGCGGCTGGGAGTGTGGGCAGCTTGAATTTATTGAATCCACAATGGATAAATGGGGTTGTTTGAACATTTTAAAAAACAATTTGAAACAAAGTGCAGAGAATCTCGACGTTTTGGTTCCAACAAGATGATGACCCGAAGCATACTGCGGAAATAGTTAGACTTTGGGTCTTGTACAATGCTCCTAGACAACTTATTACGCCCTCTCAATCACCTGACCTCAATCCTATTGAGCATCTAAGAGATCTGTTGGAAAAAAGAATTCGTCAGTACAAGTAAAGAGGCTTTGGGAAGTGTTATGAAAGAAGAATGGTCCCAGATTACAGCTGAGGAAACAGATAAATTGGTAAGATCAATGTCAAATCGATTGAGCGAGGTTTTAAAACAACGCGGCTATCCAACAAAATATTGAATTTAATTTTTCTTTATCATTTTTATTACTTTTGTATCCAATTTTAAAGCTGAACGCAGACTTAATGGTGCCTATATTTACTTCTGCTTACACTAAAATCCCGTTATCACAAAAATGAAAATAGGAATTTACATTTTTGTTTTTGCATTTGGAACATACGAATATAAAGAAGAAATACATGCAAAAAATTTGAGCTGAATTATCTATTTACATTGTGTTTTTACTTCACTTAAAAAATGTGTCGGGTCAACGCAGAGTTAATTGTATATATATATTTTCAAATGCATTGTATTGTAAAAATGCACCTGATTTTGGGTACACGACGAGAATAAGCTAAAACTTTTGTATAACGTCCCAGGCTTTCAGGGGAAAAAAGGGTATGGGCCGATAGAGGAGATCCTCCAGATCAAGAATATATTAGGTCAAATAAAAAGCTCGTTCGGTTGTTATCTAAAAGATGGCGTTAATACCAGTGTAACGTGTCGCATCATGTCATACTATACGGCGCTGAACACGTGTTTATTCGCGCTAAATGTTAGTTGTTGTTACAAAAGTGGTTTGCTAGGTTCCGTTCCGGTAATTTCGATGTCAAAGATGCACCACGCGTCGGGAGGCCTGTCGTCGAAAATTGCGATAAAATCATGAAAATAGTGGAAACAGACCGTCACGTGAGCTCGATGTTTGGGCGACACACGAACTAACGCAGAAAAACATGATGGAACGAATTTCCATCTGCGAATCGCTGCTGAATCGCAACAAAATCGACCCGTTTCTGAAGCGGAATGTGACTGGCGATGAAAAATGGGTCACTTACGACAACATCGAGCACAAACGGTCGTGGTCAAAGCTGGGAGAAGCGGCCCAGACGGTAGCCAAGACCGGATTGACGGCCAGGAAGGTTTTGCTGTATGTTTGGTGGGATTGGCAAGGAATCATCTACTACGAGCTGCTCCCCTATGGCCAAACGCACTAATCGGCCCTCTACTGCCAACAACTGGACCGCTTGAAGGCAGCACTCATCCAGAAGAGGACATCTTTGATCAACAGAGGCCGAATTGTGTTCCATCAGGACAACGCCAGGCCACACACGTCTTTGGTGACGCGCCAGAAGCTCCGGGATATAATTTTATCATTAAAAAAGGGTTATTTTTAAACTCAATAAACGGTGCGGTGAAATTATAACAACAATAAATACTGTAGATATAGCCTCGGGAAACTTATAGTTTTCGAGATATTTACGTTCAACTATTTAAAGTACGCATTTTTTCGATTTCAAATGAATTATACACTACGTTTATTTATTTATTTATCTAAACGCCAATCGGCAGTATACATAGATATAATAAAGAATTCAAGTATTATACAAAAGTAGCTAGGGTATATTAGTGTAATATCTGGAAAATATTCAAATAATTGTAAGTTAGTGTGAGGAGTGAAGCCAGGATTCCGAAATACATACAACGTCGTACTGGTTAGCCGCTAATGCTGTTTGAAATGTTGAGAGTTTTGTACGCAGACCTCTGACGTTCTGGTAGGACGTAAGATACTTTCTTCTTGCTCGTTGAGCGAACGAAAATTTCTTTTAACGATTCTTGGGACACCATGGATATATGATTTATATCCCCTAACACTTAACTAATTCGTTTGTACACATTTATTTTACATTATACAGCGCAAAAATAGTTTAAATCAATATTTAAATTATTGTTAAATTCTGTTATTTCTAACAATAACAAAAGGGTTGCAAAATGTCAAATAACCAGTGTTACCTTATCGACATCTTTCAAAAAAAAAATAACCCTGGTCGGTCCAACACCGGGGTGTACCAAGGTCTTTTCGCGTAGAACTCCTTTTTGTGCTGGCGGCCCTCGGGGGGTCGTTTTTGATTCTTTTGCTTCTTTTACGAAATATGTAGATAAGGTATCACATAAGTCATAGTAAGCCATACGTCAGCAGCAATTATGTGTATATTTTTTTCTGAATCTAGTGAATTTCTTCTATCCGTACATACTCATTTTAACCCGGAATTCGGGGGATGCTATTTTAAAATTTACCAATATTTTAACGAGGGTTCTTCACTAATATATCATTAACTGTGTAAGAGGCTAATGTCGGACGTCCAAGGGCTAAGTATATTGAGGAAAAGCCCTGTCCAAATTTAAGGACCACGTGGTCCAAATGGTCCATGCTTGGGAGCAGATCTGGTTACATACCTAATCGCATGTTAATTGCGCGGCATCATATTAAAAGTGGGATATAAAGGGGTGTTGTGGAATCCAAGACAGATTTGCCTAGCTGTCAGAATTGCAAACCAATTCTGATTTTCAATGGTGTCACAGAATCTGATTGGATTTTTGTCTTTTCGAACATATGCAAAACCAATATTCGAATCAGCTGTTTACTATTGTGAACTTTGAAAGCAATTGTAGTAAAGTTTAAAATTAGTTCCAAAATTTTAGCTTTTGTTTGTTTGAAGAAAGAAAAAAAAAATTATAAGGAAAATATTAAGAGACCACAGTAACCCACTTGATGGCCCAGGGGAGTCGTAAGTGAAATTTAGCTTGTATTTACTTATCATCTTTTATGTATTTTAAAGCTACTTTACAGATTTATATCACATTATCGACTGAATAAAGACGCATTCCTTATGGTGTTAAATATCATCGAACCACATTTGCAGCCCTCGACGATTCCGCCTATAATTCAATTGCCAGCAACACTGCGATTTTTAGCAGAGGAGGCTTACCAACGGAGAATAGGACGTGATTCTTGTTGCAGATTTTAACGCAAGTGATACAAGTACATTTGCGGTCAGTGCATAAAACTTTCTATGGATGAAAACGAAAAGTTGATTTCAAGAAATCACTTTTTTGGAAAGTACAAAATACCCGGAATTGTCGGTTGCATAGATGGAGTACATATCAAAATAATAAAGCTACCTGATGATGAGCATTTGTATTTTTACCGAAAGGGATATTTTAGTATAAATGCGATGATAGTAAGTATAATCAATAAATTAATATTCAAGCATATAAGGTTGGCCGTTATTTCCCTTCCGCTTTTTTGTCTTTTGAATTTCGCGGCTCAACAGTTATAGACGTGTAAACATGGAGTTCACTAACGCCGAAATTCGCGCTATTTTAAAGTTTTCCTTCGTTAAAGGCAAATCCGCTAGAGAAACGTTCCGTGAGATTGATGGTGTTTTGGGGGATGGTTTCGACACCATGGATAAGCCAGCCGGCGGAAGACCTGTGACGACAAATACCGATCAAATCATGGAATACATCGAGTTAGACCGGCATATGGCATCTCTTGACATCGCCCAGGAGATGGGAGTTAGTCACCAAACCATTTTGAACCATCTGCAGAAGGCTGGATACAAAAAAAAGTTTGATGTTTGGGTGCCGCATAATTTGACGCAAAAAAACCTTCTGGACCGAATCAACGCCTGCGATATGCTGCTGAAACGGAACGAACTCGTCCCATTCTTGAAGCGGATGGTGACTGGCGACGAAAAATGGATCACATACGACAATATCAAGCGAAAACGGTCGTGGTCGAAGGCCGGTGAATCGTCCCAAACAGTGGCCAAGCCGGGATTGACGGCCAGGAAGGTTTTGCTGTGTGTTTGGTGGGATTGGAAGGGAATCATCTACTATGAGCTGCTCCCATATGGCCAGACGCTTAATTCTACCATCTACTGCGAATAACTGGACCGCTTGAAGCAGGCGATTGACCAGAAGCGTCCAGAATTGGCCAACAGGAAGGGTGTAGTGTTCCACCAGGACAACGCCAGACCACACACTTCGTTGATGACTCGTCAGAAGCTACGGGAGCTCGGATGGGAGGTTTTATCGCATCCACCATATAGCCCGGACGTAGCGCCAAGTGATTACTACCTGTTCCTGTCCATGGCGAATGCCCTTGGTGGTGTGAAGTTGGACTCAAAAGAGGCTTGTGAAAAGTGGCTGTCCGAGTTCTTCGCAAATAAGGAGGGGGACTTTTACGAGGAAGGTATTATGAAGTTGCCGTCTAGATGGAAACAGATCATCGAACAAAACGGCGCATATTTTAACTAAATCCGATCACTGTAACACTTTTTATAAAGCATTGAATGAAGAGCAAAAAAGCGGAAGGGAAATAACGGCCAACCTTATATTTATAAACCTACATAAATGTATTTCTTTTATCCAAAGATTTGTGACAACGATACGCAAATACGGGCCGTAGATGCACCATATGAGAGTGGACAGCGCTCATTGAGGTTGTTGGGTGATTGTGTCTACGGAATTGAACCGTTTTTATTAACTCCAAGGAGTATAAATTCAATATAGCACATACGGCTGCTCCGAATATTGTGGAACGAACAATTGGAGTTTTAAAAAGCCGTTTCTGCAGTTTAATGTGTACATTACATTATCGCCCTGAAAAAGTTGTTAAAATTGTTAACGTCTGTTGTGCGTTACATAACATCAGCAGACGTTACAACATTGAACACGATCAAGAAGTTTCTTGCAAATGAAACTAATGAGGACAATTTTTTCCCATCTGATAATGGTTCAATGCAAAGCGAAGGCCGGAGAATAAGAGACGAAATAGCATATACTTTGTAATTCAATGTATTTTTTTTAAATTTAAATATAACAGTCTTCATGACTAAACTAAAATCAGTCTTAATTTTTAAATTCAGGTACAACCGAGATCTTTGATTAAATGATATACTTATTAATTAATCTTCTTTTTTGCGTTATTTTGTTTTTTGTATTCGAACTTAAGAATTTATATATTTAGTTGCTCTTTTTTAATCTCATTTTTTTCAATAATACTTTTAAGCAATTGAGAACTTATACTAACAAACTCATCTGTCATTTCCGTAATAGCTCTTCCAACAGTTTTATTATTATTTTCTAATGCTTGGTATATACGCCTCAAGTCTGCAGTTCTATTAATTTATAAAATTTTTCAATATATCCCCAGTTTTGTTGGTTTCTTCATCTAAAAATCTTTTTAAACGGTCTGGTGTACTCTCTAATTTTTGTCTTCTAGGTACATAAGCATTTCTTTCTCGTAACCCTTGGGACGTGGAGGGTATATCGTCGACATCTTTTTGCCTGTTATATGCAATAGAAGGTAAATTTTCTGCCTGTTGCTCTAGCGATGAGGAAGACAAATCTATATCTGGACTCACCCCTGCAATTGCGACAGATACATTCTCATTGACGGGTTGGGTGCCAAGAGAAACGCCTGGTATGCCTTTCACGGTTTGCGAAATGCCGCAAAAACGCACAATTGTTTCTTCATTTTGAGTTAGCTGATATTTAGAAAAGGAGCCATAGAATTGCTCAACTCTCAATTTTGTTGTGAGCTAATTTTCTTTTGATTTTGCTCTTCCTCTCAGTTATGACCTATAAAAATAAGTTTGTTTAACCTGCAATTTAATTTTTACTAAAATTCATTTATTTACATTTTTCCACCCGGAGACATCTTTATGTGGTGGACCTGCATCATTAACGGATTCCGTTAATTCCTGCCATAATGTATCTATAATTGGCTTATTGCGTTTTGTAAATCCTCTTATGATGTCTGGATTTTTTTTCATGAATTCAATTATTAGTGTATTTTTTGTTCTGTTCTTATGTTTTCCCCTATAAAGTTAAATCAATTATTTGTATTTTCGTGGACTTGGGCAAGTATATTGTATATAATATTATGATATTAAAGTGTATAATATTATGAAAGGGTAGAATTTTAACCTCTATTGAGTGATTAGTGAGTGTTTAAAATTTAGTGTTAAAAAACCCGCTTTAAACGCGTCTCTAAAGCAAAAAAAAAAAAGCATGGTAATTTTTTTCTTCGCAATGATGCCACATACCGTGCTGTTGGAGAAGCTCTATCAAAGAAAGAAGAGTATTGCTGTAGAGGCGGAATAAAATGACAACAATAACGAATGTTAATTAGGAGTCCTATTTCAGTTAATTAATTTAAATAATTTAAGTATAATTTGTATCAAAAATTTTATTAAAGTAAATAACAAAACCAATGAAAATAAAAACCACATTTTTTTTTATGAACAAAGATAAGGATGGCACCGCCGTATAACCGCTATTACTAGTCAAACACGTGCTCCAATAATAATTGATGGCATAGCGTAAGTTGAGTATAAGTTGGAAAACACGAAGTAATTTGGTGGGTGATTATCTGTTATGCAGCGTTGGACCAAAGCCGGTCATGTCCTATGACAACGTAATTTTAATGTAACTATATTTTTATATATATTTAGTTCAATTTGGTTGTTTTTGTTGTAACGGTTACCTAGTCCCCGTTTGCCCAGGAAACGAGCTGTTTCGACGGGGTCGGGCCATAGGGAGAAGGGTGTTAGATGGGTGGGGTTTGTTGGGCATGCAAAGAGGTGGTTAGTGTCATGCGGAGACTCATTGCACGCAGGACATGTGTTTAGTATGTCGGGGTCAATTCTGGATAAGTAGGAGTTTAACCTGTTACAGTATCCGGACCGAAGTTGCGCGAGGGTCACTCTGGTTTCGCGAGGCAACTCGAGCTCTATGTCTGCTATGGGTGGAGGTTTGACTCCTATTACGCCATTCACTGAGAAGGAGTCTGTGAAGGTGTTGATGGCTCCACTGTCAATGGCGTCCGAAGTCCGGTCGGCGTACTGTCTAATGTCGTCGACGTAGTCAAGGAAAGACCTCTTGATGTTCCTAGGAGGCGGCTCCGCTACAGTTAGGTGATTACAGGGGTGGTTTCTACGAAAAAAGCGTTGTGTGATTGACTGTGTCAAAAGCTTTTGACAAGTCCAACGCTACGAGGATCGTCCTCTCGTAGGGTGGCTTCTGGTTCAGGCCATGAACTATCTGGGCGTTTATGACGCTAAGTGCTGTGGTGGTACTGTGCACTTTACGGAAGCCATGCTGATGATCTGCTAGGCTCAGGTGGTGAGTGAATGACGGGAGTAACAATGCCTCAAGTGTCTTCACTACTGGAGAAAGGAGAGTTATCGGACGATAAGATTCGCCTTTGTTGGCGGGTTTCCCAGGTTTCAGTAGTGAGACCACTCTTCCGACTTTCCACACATCGGGTATTTGAAGAGTGGATATCGACAGGTTGAGGACCTTGGTGAGATAATTTACTCCCGTTGGGCCTAGGTGTTTTAACATCAGCATGCTTATTCCGTCAGGGCCAATGGATTTAGACGATTTCGCCTTTTTGATGACACTCTGAACCTCCCCATCGGTGAAAGTAAGTGGTGCGCAGTCTTTTGGCATTTTGCGCAGCCGTCGGTTAACACGTCGTTTGGCCTTGTCAGTCGAAGGGTGCAGTGTAAATTGTCAGCTGAAATAGCTCGCGCACTTCTTCGGGTCCGAGGAGGCATGACCTTCCAATTGAATTTCAACCCGATCGTCATGTCTTCTCGGTTTTGACAGGGTCTTGACAGTAGTCCAAAGCTTACTCACACCGGTGGAGAGGTTGCAGGACTTCAGGTGCTCTATCCATTTTGTCCGCTTATGATGATTTACCATTTGCCGAATCTCCAAATTGAGATCCCTTATTCGGGGATCACAGGGATCGGCATGGCGTAAGGTGTCGCGCTCATTTGCTAATACAGCTGCTTCGGCTGGGAAATTAGGGCGGAGTTCCGCGATTCTTCCAGCGTGATGCGCGTTAAAGTCGCCTAGCACCAAACGGTTTTCACCACCAAGTAGCGCATCTATGTTCGGGTGATATCCTGTTGGGCAACATGTGACTGGGGGGATGTATATATTAAATATTTCGAGCTCGACATCACCTGACCGGGCAGCTATACCCTGACATTCTAGGGTAGTGTCCCTACGGTCGATGTCAACATCGATTAGACGATATTGCATGGTGTTGTGCAATATGAAGGCTAGGCCTCCACCACTATCCCGCTCGCGATCCTTACGTAAAACGTTGAAACCTGCACAACTCAGAAGATCTGAGCGGCTGTTTAACTTGGTTTCTTGGACCGCAGCTATCGTTACGCGCTCCCGGCTCATGAATGCAACTATCTCCTCGATCTAACTCTGGAGTCCGTTGCAGTTGAATTGTAAGAGTCGCGTTTGTCGCGAGTGTCCAGTCGTGATCCTAGGGGTGAGTGGGGTGCGTGTAGGTGGTGGTTATTGCAGCTGTACTATCCGCATGGGCGGTTGTCGCACTGTGGTGTTGATTGGCGACGCCACTGTATGTGATTGCGGAGACAGACTCCTACAGCATGGGGCAACGTACGACGCACTCCACTTTCCGGCGTATTACGGTCTGACACACGGAACAGACTGTGCGAGGAACCAGGAGTTGCTGGGTGGTTCTCGCACGAGGATTGGAGCTGGATGAAGGTTGGGGGGGGGGGGGTTGGTCAGACTGGGAGTCATGCTGTCTGTGTGAGCTCCTTAGGGCCGTGGAGGTCCTATCTTGGCCACTCGACTGGAGTGGCAGCGCAGTGCGCGAACATGGTGCAGGTTGCACAGCCGTTGAGGCAGATGTCGCATTATTGCGTTGACAGCATGGGGCCACGTAACTTGTGGTCCACTCCCTATGTGTCTTAAGGCCTGAACAGGTCAACAATTCCTGAATTTGGCGGATGTCTTTGGTATTTGGCCTGACTACAAACTCTGCATATATTTCTTTTGCTTTTTGGCGTATGCATGGAAAATAGTATTTTCTAAAATTTGTTATGTGTTCTCAAGTAATGAGCGATAAGCTCTGTTATGCCTGTTATTAAAATTTCCTTTTAGTTGTTTTCGTTGAAAATATCTATGACTTGCTTTTCTGTATGCCAAATTTTAACGGCCGGGAATTCAGTGAGAATTCTATTTAAATTTTTGCTAGAATTACAAATTTACATAGTAAACAATTAACTACTTAAAGCTTGTATTAGTTTCTCCACATTATTGAAACTGATATAATGTCTCATCCTGGGCTTAAAAATTATTTTTGAGCTTTTTGAAAAAGTTTTTCCTTCAATTATTATCTGGTTTTGAAAACAATTTAAGGGACTTTTTGCCGTTAAGATGGTTTGTGTAAGGGATTCCTCACTATTTGCTTAATACTTCCCGATTCGTTGTTATTATCGAGTGCGTTTATGTATTGTCTAGATAAAGCATCTGCTACCAGGTTTTCTTTTCCGTTCAAGATCCGTAATGAAATTGGAGAGAGAACTCGTCAACAAATACACGCCATCGTTTTAGCTAAGCGTTTGGATTTTTGTCTAATATAATATTTAAAGTGTCAGTGGTTGATGATCCGTGAAAATATTTAAATTTTTTACACAGTAATTACGAAGTTTTTGTAAGGCCCAGACTATTGCTAATTACTCCCTTTCGTTTGTGGCGTAGTTTTCTTCTTTAGGTGAAAGGGTTCTAGAAATCATTGTAATAGGTCGTCCGCCTTGGGAGAGAACAGCACCTATACCATGAGAAGAGACATCTGTTGTTAATTCGAATGGTTGTCATAGTTAGGGTAGAGGTGAAGCATATCTTCGGAGGTAATAATTCGTTTAATTCTATTAAAAGCATCAAATGCATTGGCATCTAGTATTATTTCGATTTTCTTAGACTGACTTTAAATCTATTTTTGAGAAGAAAGTAGAGCTTCCCATATCTGATAAAATTACTGTTGTGTCTGGGATAGGGTATCTGTCACTTATTGTTTTACTATTAAGTTTAATAAATTCTATCACAAGTCGTGGTTTTTTGTTTATCTACAACCCAAATAGGATTGTTGTATGGCGATCGGGACTGTCTAACAATTCCGTCACGTAATAAATTAGAGATTTCTGCATTAACAAATTTTCCTGCTGCATTAGGGTATGGATAGCTCCTAGAGTAGACCGGAAAGTTATCCGCGGTTCTAATTGTGGCTACTTTGTTTGTGTTATAGGGCAAAGCTTTATCAGGGTCTTCAAATATTCTAGCATACCACTGAAAAATTTATGTGGTTTTATCTTTTATTGATTTTGGATAACTTGTGTCTTCTTTTGTAAGTTTAGTAATATCGGTGCAACGATAATATGATTATATCTCTTGCCCTCCGTTATATCTTAAAATTTTTTGCTTCATGTCAATCTTGCCATCTTTTATGTATTCCTTATAGCTATTTAATTCGTAATAGTCACTATCTTGGTCATATCCTTCTTGCGCTAGATGGTTGACCCGTTGTACCTTCTGAGCTAACTGACGGTCACTTTCGTGTTGCCTCTTCTGGGCTTCTTCCTTTGCGTCCAACATTTGTGTCGGATGTGAATTGTCTGGATCAAATGTGCGTCTAAAAGGGTTATTAAAGTTTCTATAACCTAAGCCTATTTGTCCCTGGAAATTATTTCGACCAGGTTGTCCGATATCATTATACTGTTGTGGTTGCTGTCTGTTTTGTCTAAATCGAGAAAATGATGGATCAATGTCCATTGGTACTGGTCGTTGCCGTGGTTGTTCATTTTAGATTCTACGGTACTGTGAGGAATATTGGTAATTATTGAAATTCGGTGGGGAGTTATTCCTCCAAAATTAATGAAAGTCATTTTAGTCATTCTAGCTCGATTTGCTGCCAGCTCTTGAGCTAGAATTTTTATGTCTAATAAAATTTCAATTATCCTTTACGAAGATTTTTATGTGTAACAAAATTTTACTTATACTTTATACAGATTTTTATGTGTGGATCCAAAAACCACAATCACGTATCCTTTTACGAGGATATTCTCACGTGCCGCCACGTTGGCGCCAATTAATAAAGCTAGTTTATTTTAATTTATTTTACTTGCTATGCAAGTACAACCGTATTCGTTGGGTGAGTTCTTACGACTAATCAAG